TCTCTCTCTCTCTCTCCCGCCTCTCTCTCTCTCTCTCTCTCTCTGACACACACACGCCTTACACTACCACGCACGCAAGGATACCTGTCGGGGGCTTAGGGCATATCCTGGCTGGGGTGGGGCCGGGCTGGTAGGAGATACGTGTTTGGAGAAAACCCCGCAAGCTGTCAGATACGGCGATGGATCTCCCTATCTCCCAGGGGATCATCATCACCACATCCCGTGATAAAAATGCACAACATTTACGGAACTAATGACATTAAAAGCTGATGCGCCCGGAGTCACTAATCAAATAGTTAAATACAGTAAATTGATACAATAAATTGAACTACATTGTATCTGCATGTAAAAAAAAAAACAGAATTAACTAGTCGTACTACAGTATGACGTAGACTTTTTCGTACTAGTTAGTTTTCTAATTTCTTAGGTCTGTATCAACTTTACAATCTTGCCCCATCCTCTTGCCTGCTGCTTTGTATCGCCCCCCCCCCCCTCCAATTACATTTTTTCAAAATTTCCCCATATTTCGGTTTTCTAATGGTAAAACTGAAATATTACTTTAAGAATATTAAAGAAGAATAGAACCTTGTCCTATAGAGCAACTTTCGTTGAAAGATTTGGAGCCATTTTTAAGAAAATGGCGATTGAGCATTAATGTAAACGCGAAATTTGAAACCATTTTACAGAAATATTGTGAGTTTTCGAAAAACTTCATTGGAAGTCATTGGATGCTCTTGCCTTCCCAAATATAATAATGTATCGGACGGACATTTTGTCATCAATCAATTTTTGAGTATCAAAACATGGATTCTGGATACATCACGTGTTAGAGGATTTGTTGTTCTAAATTTATCACATGGATTTATCAACTTTTTTGTTATCAGGGCACTGTAAGAAGAGCTTTTCTGACGAAAATTCGCCGTTTTTTGGCCCAGCATTACATAACTTTCAATTGCAAAAACGGAAGTGAGAAAGTAAAAATTAAATGTATTTAAATAATTCCAGTAAATAAATGAGTAATAATAAATGTTTTCAAACACAGTTTGCAGAAATATTAAGCTTATTAAGAAATCAGGCAAAATATATAAGATGTGCGTTATAATTTAAAGTTTAAATCATTGGAATTTGGGAGTTTCATTCCCATGACACATGAGGGTAATATATGCATTTGCATTAGGCTTTGCTCCATAGTAATCAAATATGATTCCTTTCATTCCATTATCATTGTTCTGCATGTTTGTGTTTTTCAGGATGATGACAAAGATGTTGATGATGTGCAATATTGTGAATCAAAAAGCAGTAATACTCACATTTTAAACACAAGTAGTGCAGATTTAAATGAAACTGAATCTATAGATTTGACATTGGATGATATTGAGGAAGATGAAGACACTCTGGTAGCAGTTAAAATAAATTGGATGAATCTGAAAATGCATAGATTTGAACTTCATAAGGCAAGTACACGTATACTTCAATGTAATGTGGTGATGACGAAGAGACCAAATTATCTTGTGGAAGAAAACTTTGTACTTCAAAAATTGAAGAATGAGTTTTATTTTTGTTGTAAGAAACTTGTTTCAGTCAGAAAATTTGTTTGGAAGTGTGGAGTTAAACTAAAATTTATTTTTATCCTGACATTTTCCTATTTGGAAACTGAATATCCTTTCTTCTAATTTTTTAATTTTGTTTTAGCATCAGACATTTTCAATTGTCTTTGAAGAGCTTGCAAGCAAAGAAAATGTGCCTGTTGACAAGATCCTGCTAATTTTACGTGACAAAATATTCATATCAAAAGATGACTCTCCAGAATCTCTGAATATCTCTGTTGTTGATTTAATAGGTATAGATATTACTTCAGTTTTGGATTAAAAGGGCATAGATTTTTCTCATTTCTTTAGCATGATTTGTAAATGTTATATTTGAATTGCAGAAGGGGGTATAACCAAAGAAGCTCACAAAAATATCTCCAATAGGAAGGAAACAAAAAAGAACCTGCTGGAATTCAAATGTGTATTGAAGGACAGGAAGAAACCTCTCCTGGTCTCCATTAGGAAATCTGACAGTATGCACTGTTTGATGGAGAAGGCATCTGAACTTTTGGAATGCTCTTTAGAGAAACTGAAATTCAAATTTGAAGGAGAGGAATTGGAGGGCAGAGCCACTCCAGAGGAATTAGAATTGGAAGGTGGTGAAGTGATTGAAGTGTTTATCAAAAGTTGAGTGTGTGACAATATTTTACCTCACTGGTTTTAACTTGATGTGTACTACCAGCTTCTTTTAGTAAAGGTAACTGAAGATTACAAATTGTTAAATAGTCTGCAATAAATTGCTAAGAAAATCATGTTAAAGCGAGTCTTGTTGCAACACAGTTAAACAGTAGACTTGAGTCAGTATTATAACTGTTATTTTTTATGTACATTTAAAAAATAATTGTTCTGGATTTTAAAATCATTTGTACAAAATTGTATTTTCTGTTCTTTTGATAATGGAGTTTATGAGTATCATTGTAGTATACACTTAATATTTGTTGATTCATTTATTGAATGCATGTGTAGGATAATTTATATGTACTCTAAAATTGATCCCGTAATACCTTAATTGAATGACAAATCTATCTTGTAAGTTATGAGGTACTTGAAGAATTTGTAATAATTTGCTTTAAGCGTACAACATTTTTATTTTCAGTATACAAAGGAATACAAAATATTCTATGCTCATTATACCTAGTTACTAATTTGAGCATTGCCATATTATGCAAGGCATTACCAGGATTCTCGTATGTATTTTGTAATGTTTAATACCTGTCATGCCTCAGGAGGTACAAAGGTGTTCCACGAAATAGAATTTATTCTCAGCCATCTACATTTACTGACATTGTAAGACTGACTTCTTAAATCCTTGTACTTCTGAATAAAATGAGTATTCCTCTACAACTTGCAACAAGGCACGTTGAACACTTAGAAGTCAGCTGTTAGATCTGGCTTTGTTTTGTATTGAATTGAATTGTTATTTTTTGTTCTTATTTGTAAATACAGTTTTTTAAAATACTGAGCATAAATTAGATGTCCATTGATTATTCTTCCCTCTTAGAATGTGATCTGATAATCTGTAGTTCTAGAAGTTTAACATTATTCTAAGGGTTGTAAATTAAGTCTGGCCAGCAGACCTTGTATTTTAACGCACTAGAAGACCCTTGAAATAGAGAATCAGACAAAGGCACCAGCTTTTCTCAGTAACTGAAGAGTATATCAAAAGCAATGAAAATTAAAAAATTACTTCATAGTTATTTTCAGTATGCAATGCGTCTTATGAATTAAGATAGTCATAGAGATTCATTCTGTCAAATGAATGAATTTTTATTTTTTCCTTCAAATGAACATGCATATCAGTCTTCACGGAGTGGAATGCAGTTGAGTTATGAGAACTACCAGTCAAAGAATACATGCAACATAAAAACAGAATAAGAATTAACCAAGAAAAACAAACACATTTTGAACTTTCAGTTGATAGTGGGTATTAGCCATTACTTGTATGTAGGATATGTTCATTATCTCTGACTAGCATTCCACGTGTTTTTGCTTTACACAGACTGCAATTAGAAATTTTGCAGTAGGTTTCCAGAGACTTTACTCAGCAGCATTAACGTGGCATAGAACACAACCTTAATGTGTGCTTACTAATGATACCGTTTTGACTTGATTAAAAAATTGAGCATAATTTCATAATATGCTAATATTGTTGGGTGAGGGTAGATACATTTTACGTTGGACTAATACAATAAAACTACCTACAAATATTTAACATGTACCATACATGTAATATTACCTTTTTAACATCTACTTTCATGCTCTTACTGAGTAATAATGCACTTCAACAAGGCAGCTTCATCTGCTAGCACCGAGTTGTGGTGATTTGGCAAGGAGCGTGCTCCAGAGCGTCTTCACATCAGGGAGAAAGTTTAACTTGACATTTCTGCTGTGATGCTTCACTCAATCCCTTCTGTCACTGATGTCCAGAGTTCACTTTACACTTTAACACAAACACTGTTATTATTTGCTTATACTCTAACTTTGATCTTCAAACATGAGCATCTTGTTCACCGTCTGGATCTGGATCTTGACTCAACAACTCATTGCTGAGTAATGAATATGAGTCTCTTACTATGAGCAACCTATGCTGACCGTTGATGATAAAACTACTACCCCTTCGCAAAGTTTCTCTCCCTCTTTCAAGATTTTCTCTTGTGAAAACAACATTTTTGTAAGCTTTCACAAATATAAATATTAAAATTGATGAGCCAAATACTATACAACCATATGAAAAAAGAGGCCCAGCGACGTCTGCCACATTTGTGGCCAGATAAATCAATCGTTTGATGGGTGGTGTGAGATCTGCAACTCCCTTAAATTCAGAATATTCATGTTAATAAGTTATTCCTATAGATATGATTGTATTGAGGATACAGTAAAACCTCTGTAACTCCAACCTCATCTTTCAAATTTCTTGGTATCAATTTAATTCACTCTTCCTCTACAGTAACTTGAACCCAATAAGTTGAACTATCTGAGAATTCAATTTTTTTCTTTCTTATTTTGGTTTTAGATACTGAGGTTCTACTGTAGCTAGAAAATGTTAGTGGTAGAACAGAATGCTTAATGTTTAACATTTATTTTGCATAATGCCTGTGACAAAGCTCTTTCCCTTAAAAAAAAACATTAAATAGGTTTTGGTTGAAAACTTAAAGGGCTACTGACAAGTTCTAAAGGGCTCTCTTGACTCTTGATCTCTGAGAGAATTTAAAAAATAAGGAACAACAGGGGCCAAATTTGGAAACAAGTCACTTTTTAAATGTTTAATTTGGATAATTGGAGTGTTGTTTAAGCCTTAGACACCCTCTCTCTGAAGAAATAAAAATTATGAGTTCATTATATTTCTTGGATTTTTATAGTAATTTGGTTTTCTTTTCTTTTTGTAAATAAACAATTCCAAATTACTTGAAATGCAGAATAAGTTTTAATACAAAATAGACAAAATATTTCTGAGTGTTTGAAAGATCTCATGTCTTCTCAATGAAAAATTTGGTCAATGGTTTAATACAAATTCTACAAATTACAAATTTAAATTATCCTTAAGAATTGATTAGTCTTTTAGTCAGACTTTAGGGAGATCACAAGTTTTTGAAATGCAATAAATTATCTTAATTCCCATCACAGCAGGGACCAATTCTAAGCATTACCTATTTTCTCTCATTTAGTATTGCTGGGATATTAAAAAGAAAATTGTTTCAGCATGTTTTAGCATTCCACATAACACGAAGTTTGAAGAAGATGATTATCCCCCATCTCGATCAAGTTTTGTTCAGTTTCCCTGGTCCCTTGAGCTAATGATGAGATGGCCCCTTGTTTGCTTCTGAACAGTAATGTAAATTCGCTCTCTCCACCCAACGCATCATATTGACTCGTCATACATGATTGTAACTGTATATGTGACTCAATAAATATTATTATTATTATTATCATCATCATCAAAGAGGACTATATTAAAATTCATTGATGTAATTAACAATTTATTTTATATATTGCAAAACAAAACCACAACTTTTAGTTAAAACATTAATAATGAAAATTCATTGATTTACTCTGTATTTATGATGATTAATGTTGTTGAGAACTAAATATTGCACTTCTAAAAGAAGGGGCCAATTTTGGATCCAAGGACTGTTCATGGGAGGACATATGTAGAAAAGGAAGCATCGTGTTTGTGTGTGTGTGTTTAATGGATAAACTTCATTTACTATAAATTACCTTTACAAATGAAATAATATTAATAAGTTATCTATATTAAATAATTTAATGTAGTGGGTGTAAAGGAAATTGGAGTGTAATTCATAGGATTGAAACATTTATCGACGGAATAGGAAGACAACCTCTCTCTCCCATAGATTCTCTCCTGAATGGGACACGTGTTATCAATAAAAGAAAAAAAATATTAAGATGTCTTTGAAAACAATGTGTTTTTAGATTCCATGCTTTCATCTGAAAATTTGGCCTGAACAAAATAATAGATATGAAATGTTAAAGATGTAAATTGGGATTTTTTAGAAATATTTTTGCATGAACTATGTTTCTAGAAAAGTTGTGCCCTTACCTCCTGAACCCACACAATAGGCAAAATGATGCTTGGAAATTTCTTTACAACGTGGATGTTAGGTGCATGATCAACCTTGATATTAAGCTGAACTCGGACTTGCCCTTCCAAAGGAACACCCAGTTTCTGAAAAATAGAGAAATAATTAGAACTTGCAATATATTTGGTGAAATTAAAATTTTTTGTCAGACATTACTTACAGGTTGAATGTTAAAATACGATCGATGTTTTTCTGGATCTGGAGAAAGACCTTCCACACTCTCCAGCAGTGCTGGATCTGACTTGTAAAAGTGAGGATAAGACAGGTACACAGGTGCATCTGTTAACAGGATAATTTCTGTTAGGGAGCTCTCTTAAAATTAAGATCTAAGCCTTCATATCAAGAGAAATTGAATATTAAATCTAATTTGCTGAGGGCACTTACTCCATATGTGCATTAGTTATAAAAAGCTTTAGATAGGTGATTAAGTATCACTTATTTTCTTGTACACATTTTCATGCCAATTTAGTCTGTTTGGAGTGGAGGTAATGCATATACTCTTTTTCTTTTACAATTACTAAATCAGGCCCTAGGTAGTAGAGCATACACATGGTTTAAGATTACTAAATGCTATTTAAAATGGTTTCTATAATAACAAATTAATAGTTAGTAAAGGAAAATGTTTCATTGCAATGTTGCATTTCAAACTGGCAATTGCAAGCAACATTGGGAATTAACAAAAATTAGCTGATGTAAATGTCAGCCAGAATGTGACTTTATATTCTGTGGAAGCTCATCTTATAATTCTTAGACTTCAAGATCACAGAAAAAACTTACAAATAATAAGAAAATGACATCAATGTGATAAATGCAAGCCTCTCTTCAATGAGCTTAGAATCTTAGCTTGGAGCCTTGCCTATTTATTAACAAATCTGTAGTTTATGTCAAAACTGACATATTTAATCATGGAATGTATTTTCATGCAATACTGATATTTATAATTACAATACATATCATACAAATCACATTTGTCAGTTATCAGAATCAACAGCCCACTACAAGAAATCTACATAAAAATTATAATACATTTTCTTACAATACATTGCCTGATAACATTAAACAATAAAAATCAATACACAACTTCAAATTCAAAGTAAACTATTTTTTGCTGTATTACTGATTCTATAAAATTAGAGACTCAAACGAAAAATATTTATTTTAATAATTATAAATAATAATTTATAATTATTAATTTTATTATAATTTTAGAAAGACTTAATATGTCTGCCATTGTTGGTACATACACTGCCAATTAATTCAAATTTGGTTCCATAATTCGAATACAGTCATTATAACAAGACTTAGTGGAAAATTATTAGCAAAGACCACACATTTCAAACGTCGCGTGCACGAGATAGTTTTAATTTCCCCTTCAAAAATGCGAGCTCTTACAAGAAGGAATTCATTTCTTGCATGCAACTCTTTGAAACTAACTTTTGAAATGCTTTTAAAAATGCCCGGTAGATCTCGCCACTCCTCACCTCTAGGGAATTAATAACTAAACTTTTGAGGCCAAAGGCGTCAAAGGAACGTTTTTCACACCGTTATCTACAGGATGATATCTTAAACATTCTATTATATTGTTGCTGGTCCGGCGCTTCTCGATATTACCCCAGAGTTGTGCAGAATCTCCAACTAAATGTGTATGAGAATGAGAGGGGGAGAGTGAGAGTGGGGAGGGAGAGCGAGAGAGACGGAGAGAGAGGGGGAGAAAAGGGGAGAGGGAAAGAGGAGGGAAATGAAGGGCTGAACGTCTCCCAGGTTCCGCTAGTTCTGAATAAATCTAATCTCTTATATTACTCCATATATACATATGTACGTACACGAGAAAGTAATAACGAAACTATTTTGATTTTGACTGAGAAATGCAACAATTTTATTGTGTTGTTCTGCCTACTTTCATATTGAGCGTAATGACTGAATACTCATACCCAGTGCGTCACTGCTGAAGACATCGATGGCGTTATGCGTCAATGATGCTCCAAGGAAGAGACTTCCTGCAGTTAAATAATTGATATTTACATTTTTTGTTGTAACGTAACAATGACAATTTTTTTATATACAGAGAAAATCAAAGAAGATGGTGTGCCATATTGCATCACGGGAATAGCAAATTCTTAACGGTGGTCAGCTCTTCCTTGGAGCCTTGCTGTCGCAATGTCGTCAACTGTGTCGCGAGCAACGAGACACTGGGTAAGAATAATATCCTTTTACTGCCGACGGAATCCGACGCCTACATAGTAGGCAATTTGCAGTGCGCGCGCGTTGATGCCGTTGCCTCGGCAGGCGCGGGACCCAGAACAAGCCTTTGTTCTGCAACGTCTATGCAACGATGGGAACCTGTTGCCTTTGTGATTGCACAGGTGATAGTTACTGGCAGATTTTTGGAAAGTGCATCTGTCTCTTGCATTGGAGATGGGAGTAGAGTTTCGTCGTGATTTACGCTCTGTTGCTACATGTTTATTGGAATCCTTTTTGAATTTTGAAATGTCAGATTAAATGTACGTTCTCGGTTTAATTTGCGTACCTTTTTTCTCGTTGCAACAAAAAAACCGAATGAGTAAGTACCATTTTTCTGGAATGTACGCGGCAGTTATGTTGATATTGTATTAATTTTCACCTCATTTAATGTGTTACATGCTGTTGTAATTCAACTTCTGGAAAAGAGTTTTTTAGAAAATAATTGTTTAAAAATTGCCAATAATTACGTAAAAATTACTCATATTAAAAATGTTCATGACCTTACCTAGAGTCCGGACTTTAAAGAACATATTTAATAAAGAAAACAATCTCTTATCTTCAATATTGAGGGACACATCGAAATCAATTTTGAACTTTTGCAATTTTCTAAAATTCAGCGAGTTTAACGAAAATAAAATCTCCGTCATTTTTAAGCTCTATTTGAAGAAAAAGTTTAATCAAAACATTTGGAGCTATTATTGAGAGCCGTTAGAAAATGTTAAGGATTCGCGTGAAGTGTCCCTAAAAACAAAATATCTGTTTCAATTCTCAAGGCCTTGAGTTCGGTGAGAACAATGGAGGAATTTTAATTTGAGAGAAAATTGTCTGAATGGTTTAGGTGCTAGCGTTGATCACAGACGAACGGACATTTTGCTGTCAACCATTTTTTCAGTATTATGTATCCTCAAAACGTGAATTTTGACTACACAATGTGTTATAGAAAGTAATTTACTGCATATAGGAAGATTTATTCAGATTATCGATATTAGAGACCCACAATACGAGTTTTTCTGGCGGAAAATCGCCACTTTCCGATAGTTTATCACAATACTTTATCTTTATTACGTAAGTACGTAGAATGGAGAAAGTGAAAAGCATGTTGTTGACAGATAACGAATCAAGAAAAATGTAATTTTTCATTCCTGTCTCTCATAACGTAACAGAAATTGAAACTGTTTAAAAATCCTTTAATAAATGAATACTAATTTAATAAATAAATTGAATAGAAACAACAGTAATCACAAAAAAACTGATAGGAAATTTCCTGAAAGAGTTTGCCACGGGAACTGGAGTACATAGCACGGCCGTGATGGACGATGGCATAATTCTGTGAATGATGTCGGGGCAATGGTGGATGAAACATCGCATGAAGCGGCAGGTGAGCGCTTGCCACGGAAACCGGCTGTGAAGGACGGGTGCCGGAGACGGCATTATTCTTTGCCCGACGACCGGACGAAGGGGGGAGCGAACTCCGCCTAAGGGGGCGTGCCCGGGCCACTCGCTAGCTCGCTCACCGAACTGGCAGGGCGCGATGTTCTGCAGGCCGTCGGGCCCGCACTCGTCGTCGCCGTCGGGGCAGTAGCACTGGTTGTCGGGGTTGCGCTGCGGCACGTCGAACATGTCGTCTGGCGGCTCGTAGTGGTCGTAGGGGATGCCGTCGGCGCTCGCGCCGGAGTATTGCCGCTGCAGCGGCCAGATGCGGCACAGGTCCTTGTCCCACACGTGCACGATGTCGCTGTGCGTCGAGCGACGCGGCGGAAAGAAACTGCCCTCCGAGGCGCGCAGCGAGTCGCACGGCGGCCCGTCCCAGAAGGGCAGCCGCTCGCGCCCGTTCAGACGGCTCATGTAGCCGAACTCCGACATGCTGGTGTGGCCCGTGAAGATCGTCTGCACGTCCTGCAGCGTGCCGTTGCGCTGCAAACACAATGCCACACCTGAATTCGTCTGGCGGACCATCGCTACCGTAAGGCCCAATCACGATGCAAACATAGACATAAGCATGGAGTTAACGTAAAAGTTAGGACTACGTCCACAAGCGGACTCATTCACAACGCGTTCGCATAAGCATAACATGTAAGCGCATAAGCATAACATGTAAGCGCATAAGCATAACATTAAACGCTCGCAAGCTGTAAGCTTTTATGCTTATGCAAGACATAAGAAATTAACCAATCACAGTACGGTAACTCAAAATTGAGAATCGAAATAGAAATGAAGTGGATAGTCGAACGCTATATGGGCCATGGGCACAATCGATACCTCGAAATTGATTCTCACATCCAACCAATATTAAACTAGAATGTCTCACAGCCAATAGAAACTCGTTATTTTGCTTAAGTTTATATTAGACAATACTTCAGTCAATCTCTTAGGTTAATGTTTACGTCGATGCGTTATGCTTATGTTTACGTTTGCATTGTGGATGAGCTTTTATTGCAAGTAGCTCTCGTCTATTGAGTGATTGATTAGTGATCTGGGCTCGACAGCTCTAAGGTCATTTGTCCTGTAAGTGTAGCGCATGTTTTTATCGCGAGAGGTAGCGGTGATCTTCCATTGTTGGTGAAATCCGGCGCCGACCTATCCGCCGGCTTACGGGTTTTCTCCCCAACCAGGTATCTCCTACCATCGTTGCACCGCTACAGCAGACACAAGCTCTAAGCTCCTCGCTGGTCTCACGACATTTGTCGTAGTGTAGTGCATGTAGGTGTAAGTAAACGGTGAGGGTGGGACAAGGAAGAGGAAGGAAAGATCGAGCGCGGTCCGTGGCCCATTTGTTACAGTACTGTTCCGGCATTCGCATGATGTTGATCGGAGAAACTGCAGAATCAGATCAGAGCAGCTGGCCGCTAGAATTCTGCTCCAAACAGCGACTGAATCGGCCTAGCTGACAATCTAAGAGTTGAAAATCGTGACACCGACGGGACTCGAACTCTTAGACTTGCCAGTCAGAGGCGCTGCAGTGTCATACATTTTTGCCCTGAGCTCCCCAAGCCGTTTGCTCTCGCTGAACTTTTGATACGATTCACTCCAAAGAAACTGGATTATGGTAAGTTGAAAGTTTACTAACAATGAGGGAAAGTCGTAATCATCCTCGTGAGCTCATTCCAAACAATGAATAAACAATATTTAAGATCAGTTCGTGAGACATTTAGATATTACTTCTGTAAGTAAAACAAAACTATTATAAAATGCTTGGGGGGAATATAAAGGGTTGGCTGCGGCGAATAAACTTATCACAGCTCGAGCGCGCCGGTCATAAGGAAGCGGGTTTGAAGCCGGCAAAGGGTAAACGACCACAAATTTACACTATGTGTCGGCGAGTTTTTATCGCATGTCACGCTTGAACTCTGATCGGTGTTTTCTATTATCAGCTATTGTCATCTCTCCAAATCCGGAGTGTAGGGCGGCGGGGGGAGAATGTCTCGTCATAACCTGCTTCCCATGCTGGCGGAGAGGCATACAACCTCGTGCGACTAACGCTAGTAAAGAGGAAAATATTATTTCCTAGGATATTAGGGCGGAATGGATTTCAGTACTTTACCTCTCATAAAACATAAAAACATATATACACCTACATATAAACATATGTATACTAATACTATTCGTATATACCGTGTATACTAATAGTATTAGTATGCACTATATATTAGTATACTGTGAAAACTAATACTATTAGTATGCACATTTTTATATGTATGTGTGTATATGTTTTTATGTATGAATATATATATATATATATATATATATATATATATATATATATATATATGTGTGTGTGTGTGTGTGTTTTATATATTTTTATTTTATTTTTAACAATATTATGACCGAAAGTATGCCTTGGTATATTATATTCATTGTAAATATTTTCTCTCTCTTAACCTTGATTAATAATAATAATAACAACAATATAATGATAAGTCAGTCATCAGTAACAGGTCAATACATCTAGTTTGGATACCTTTGCATAAAGTTTCTTCAGAATGTTGTCCCGTTATATTGCAAATTTAATTCATGTGCTTCAGCAACTCCATGTTGAGTTGGGTGTGGTGGCTTGAAATGAGACGTTACCTTTACGATTATTAGTAAGGTGTGTACTTTCTATATTTTGGTGTTTTATTTATCGTAGTTTATAATTTATTTTTTTGTTTTTGGTTGTGTAATGTTAATTAATTAATGAATCAACTGATTGAAATGCTTGTTGTCCTCATGCACTGTTCATTCTTCATACTCTAGCCCTGATGAAAAAATTAAATATTTCGAAACGTTGGCACAACTAATTGTTTCTCTACCCACAATGACCAATCCCAATTTTAATGTACTAAGGCCCTTAGTTGATGGAAGCTGAGTGGTGGTCTCTGCGGGGGGGGGGGAGAGCGATTGCCTCTGGAGCTGGACCAGTTTTACTTAACTCATGAATGGAAGGTGTTTGTTTAATTTTTATATTTCTTCATAATATATTGAATAAATATTTGAAAGTAAATTATTAAAGGAATTCTGTGTAGAAGTATATATTAATCAACTTTTTGAAAATTTTAATTTGGAGAATCTTTCATTAAAGAGATTTTGGGTTGCATGTAGTAAAATGACACGATGTACGTTTAGGCAATGATATCAGCAATCTGCATCTTTTGAAGTGTAAAGTGAATTTACCCAACGCTCTCTTCCTTAGACTGATAACGGAAGTAGTTGTAAGTGTGACAACCGTGTGCTCCTAACGTAAAATTCCCATAACGCAACATCCCCTTGTTTAGTTTTTGTTTGTTTAGAGCTGTCCACCAGTTCACAAACACGATGTAGTAGCATCATGGGAATGAAGTAGACAATAGTTGGGAACAAGCTCCTTTTATTGTGATCACACGTCGTGCAGTGTATATGATTCAAGACGTTATCGTAGATGATAATGTTAGGATTCGCGCTTGCGCAAGTCTCGAAGGAGGGTTCATATTGTGTAGGATACGGTATCTATACCGGAAACGACACCCCGCCAGAATTCTCGGGCATAGTCATGTGACTTGAATCGTGTAGGATACATGATAAGTGGCGGCAGAATGGGTATACAGCAGAGTTTAGCTAACCCTGCATTCTCATGATGCTCCATTGTATTGGTGGGTTGTCGAACAAATAGGAATGAAGAGTACGTGACACTACGGGAATAGGCAGTTAGTACGACACAGTCGACATATATTGTAACCACTTCCATTATCGTAGTGTTATAATGAATGAAAATCCTTTTTTTGTATTCCAGCATTAAAAACTACCTTTTTCGTTAGAAGTATTTCGTTCTTAAAATGACATCTTATCTGACAGATTATGACGTATTTGCAGTTTATGACACGAAGAATTACGTCATCACACATTCAGCTAACCGCAGCGAGAGAATCGTGGGAAGGGAACCAGTAAACCGAACCGACCACCGCTTTTTCGAACAGATGTGAAATACCCATTACGTCAAAAAAAAGTTGTTTCCCAAAAATTAACTTAAATTATCTTATAAATTAATAGTGCTGCTGTACAAAAACTAATGTATGGAACTCATTTATAACATTGCTTTGTCGCATTCGTATACATTTGAAAACTCGCTGCTAGCGTCGTTTGTTTTTAAAACACGTACTCTTGCGATAAAACTTAACATCATAAACAAGTAGCACAATACACTATTAACGCTTCAAACGATATTCATCACGCGGTTTTCTCTAAAGTACCCGTAGCTGTGTTAACAGCCCAAACCGATCGAACGGCGACCGAGTTGCACCGCGGGCCGCCAGAGAGCAGCGCGAGCGCAAGCGTACCGAGAGCAGCAGCCCCATGCGGCTGGCGGGCCGTTTGTGCGCCGGGAAGAAGCGGTTGGCTAGCGCCACTAGGGTGTCGTCGTAGCCGAATAGCAGCTCGTCCACCGACACGTGCACGAACGGCGTCATGTTGTTCATGGTGCGCAGAAACATGGACAGCATTGTCTGTAGCACCCTCATCAGGCTGTTGCTCATCGTCGACAGCGTCTGCAACATTCACATTCATTTCTCGCGTTTCACATTTTGTTGTTGTAGTTGTTTTCTGTAATACCACATAACAGCTTGGATATTAATTCAAAACAGTAAAATACAGAATCATTGAAGTTCATCAGTAGTAAATCAGAGTTCATCAGAGCAGTCATTTGAACCAATACAACAAAAGAAAAAGAGTGTTAACTTCAAAAATTACAATTGGAGTTCTTAGGGGATAGTTTTTTATTTTATTGTTTTTCCTTATTAATGTATATTTAAAACAACAGGATTCTCAAATAAGTTTTGTCTTACAAATAAACGATAAAAACCCATTTTAAGGCACATACCTCATTAATATATTACATGTATTTCTCAGCGCAAAGATAGATATCTACTGCACCACTTAAAATATCTTATTCTTATTATAGTGAATACTGATTGGGATTCAAAAAACTCACCAGAAGCGGAATATTGGGGACGGTTACTTTGAGGTTTTTGTCCAGTGATAGTTCCGGTACGAACGTCAGGATCTTGTGGTGCTGGAAGGACACCGTGCCGTTGTCATTGAAGTGAATGTTCACCTTCTCCATGTCTTCCCTGAAAACAAAAGAGCCTCCAATGAGCGATGAAAAATTTACATGCGACACAAGCTACAAATAAAAGAGACAGTAAGACAATCCAGTGAACAAGCGGAATTTTACATATTTAGTTATAGATGCTGGGATTTGACGAGTGGGGAAATTATTTTGCATTTTCTGAAAATTAAGAGAATTTATTGTAAAAAAAGGCGATAAATGACTTCGTTGATGAGCCACCACCGTTAATGTTTTGTTTCATAATATTTTAGTCTTAACAATGGCATTTCTATTCCTGACGGCGTTATTAGGAGTGGAATTTTATTATTAGTCACTATTATTGAAAACGATTTCGCCGAATATTTCGAATTTTATCCTCAGCACTTAATGAGTAGTAGGTAATCTGTGCCTGTAATTAAAGTTTACATTCGCAAGATAAAAAGTAACAAAAAATTAAATGCATGAAGAATAGAATAATTAGTGCCACGAGAAATTAAGGACATGAAGAGTATTCAATAAACAAATGTTATTCCACTACTTAAGTTCTAGAATCCTGCAAGAGACAGCTGCTATAAACTACAAAAAATATAGATTAGTAACTCATCTGTGCTAATTTCCTTTGAGAATTACCCGATTTTAGTACATTTATAGGAACCTGAGGGAAAGGATGGTTTTCGGCGCGATGTACGCTGAGAGTGATGGATTTCTCGCGAGTACTTTGGCCGCAAGTACTTTTCCCATCGTTAAATATCCGATGCGAGTACGTTCTAGTTTCAAAGTAGTTGCTCTGAGCGAACATTGTACTTATTTTGAGAACGAATATCATTAGAGCCTCAGTATAAACTCATGATTATAATTTTACAGAAAGTATGGGCAGAGAACTACCTATGTGACAGTGTTTACGTTCGAATACTTTTAGAACATATATCAATAAATCAAGGCTACCTCTTGAATCGCACAGTGAGTCTCGCGCAGCAGTTGTGCATGTTTCACCACCTCACTGGTGCTGTCATAGCATCAGTCCAGGCTGTAAGCTTTTTTGCTATTCGCTAGGGAAAGTATGCATGACAAGGCACAGCAACAGCGACATCACAATCCTCATTTTTCCGGCATGTAAAAAAATATGTGAATTGAAATATAAGCCTACTAAGTTATACTTCATAAAAACCTGGCGGCTTATCTCATTTGCCAGTGTGCTCGCTTTTCATGACGTGGCTTCGGGTTCGTTTCCAGGTCAGGCAAGATTATAGAACGCGATTTCCTTGCAATGTTCCAGTATATGTTGCTGTGTGACGATGAGAAAATTCAATTCTCCGGTTGAGAAGACCAAAATATAGTATGGGGATGTGTACGTGCTAACCACACGTACCGCTTTAACCCATGGCCGCGATGAAGTCGCTGGTAGGACATGCCCGTACACGGACCGACGCGCAAAGAATATATCTATATAGATATAGATAGATAGGTAGATAGATAGATAGATAGATAGATAGATAGATAGATAAATAAGTCCTACTTCATAATATGACACGAACTCCTTACGTTGAGGCAGTTTTTCTTATTGAATGGCGTGTGATCTTCATAATGTTGTGATGATGATGAGTGACATCTTGATAATTGTGTGCGAATGGCTCCAATGATTTGAGAGACTGGTGAAGCGTAAGAAATTTGCATTTTTAAATCCATTTATCTCTTTTTAATTGCTTGTTCCATACAGCAACCACTGTGATCTTTAACATTGTGGTAACTGTAAGGGGAACCTATAAGGCCAACATGAATCTGTACAAAAAGCCGAGGGAGCCACGGCCCTTCAACCTTAGCGATCGCGGTTATTCAGGCCGGCTTAAATTTGCATTGTTATTCTCCTCCTGTCTATATCGAAGCCAAAATCTTAACCTAGATGTGAAAAAAAAAAAGAAAAAAAAACGAATGGGAGGGGGTGGTGCTCGGAGGAAAGTCGTGGTCGCCGCCTAGCCAGTCATACGGCGCCTGACTCATGTCACGGCGAAGTGACGAAGGCGGCGCACGGAGGTTGCCGGTGCCGCAGCGTGCGCGGGGCGCTATGAACCAACGCGTTGAATGTCAGTGGCGCGGCGCGGAGCGAAAGGCCGGACGTGGCGTGGCGTGCCGCACCGCACCGCACTACGCCGCGCCTGGAGGTTCCCAGCTAAGCAACCCGCGTGGCCTCCCGATCGTGTTCGAAATGGACGAATTCGCAGCAGACTACGCTCATATCTTCTCGTGTTTTGACCGCTAGTAGCCCACGAAACAGTCGCGAAATACTGTTGCAAATTTAGCAATTGCAACAATATTTAGCAAAAATGTAATATTTAGCTGTTTTCAGTCGATTTACACGTTACCTTAGGGCATGCTAGTAGAAATTTTGAACACGCAATGTTTCGTCAAAACATTATCCAAACCTGAATCTTAATTACAGTGATGCAGTTACAGTGATTACTTTAAAAAATCACTCTAAGTAGAATATAAATTAATATAATTAACTATAATTAAATCAATATAATTAACTTTAAGAATACCAATTAATAGATATTTATGCACCAAGGCGTTATAAGAATTCTAATGATCGCGCGGCGACAAAAAACTCCTCGGCCAAACCCTTGGGCTTTCTGTCGTCGTTCGATCATCAAAACCAGTTAACGCCCGTGGTGCACACATTCTTTTATTTTTTACGTACTTTTAATTATTGATATTTACTAATTAGCTCGTTGTTAACTAAACTCACTTTATATTTCCACATTTTCCTCCCATAATTCACTTTCATAATTCCCTCTATTAGAAAACATGGTGCGTTTGGTTTCATAGGAATAAGTGTCTGTAGAAATATAAATCATTAAACAAAAAGAGGATAAATACATGTAAATCTCTAGAAATGCCAAACTGGGTAAATCACAATTTATATATGAAAACAAAATTTTCAGAACCTTCACTGAAGGTTCTGGAAATTTTTGTTTCAACATTTTGGAGGAATTCAAAAGAAATTTTTGCAGTTGCAAGAAGTTTTTGGCGGCACCAAAATTCTCTTATCTCTACGTATGAATATGTCTGATATGAATATCAGGTAAACTATTTTTCAAGATTCGTATCAACGTGTGTTGTCGGCATTTTTGATGCACATTTTCCAATTGACATGGAATCAATTCTAAATAACATTGATTGAGACATTTCTTTCTCAACCGATTAAACAACCCTCGCATCTCCTACTTAATTGTAGAGGATGAAAACATGCCGCATGATTCATATCCGAGCAGATAGCCCTGAACCGAACGCGCTAACCGCGTCTCTTAGCACAGCAGACGGACTTCCCGGACGGTCTCGCAACGCGCAGTCACGGGAATCTGCTGAAATCGCGACATCTCTCCGGCACGCACGCACGCACGCACGCGCAGTCACGTGGGCTGGGAAATCCGCCGTCTTTACCGGACACATCGCGATGCCCTCCTCTCCCTTCTTCTTAGTGTGACGCGAAGGACGCGCCCTCGAGGCATTGCCTCCCAGCAGCGGGGCGTGACGGTTTAGGGAGATTCTGACCGATTAGTGATTCCGGGCGCGTCAACTGTTAAGGTAATTAGTCCCGTAAATGTAGTTCGTTTTTTCCTCGGAAGTTGGCGGTCATCTTCCCTCGCTGGACGGCGAGATCCGGCGCCGACTGGCGGGGTTTCCTCAATTAGATATCTTCCATCAGCGGTGCACCGCCCCAGCCGGGACAAGCTCTAAGCTCCCGTCCGATCTCCCGGCATGTGTGGTAGTCTAGTGCATGTAAGTAAGGGGTGAGGATAGGACAAGGAAAGGAAAGAAAATATCGCGATCAGAGGCCCGTTTGTTTGGGTACTGTCTGACATTCGCCTAATATTGATCGGTGAAACTATGGAGAACCACCGATCAAAGCAGTTGACCGCTAGAATTTGTCTTGTGCGATCGCAGATTGAGCCTCATGTGTTTGTTTCACGGAGCTTTGCATTAAATGCTCGTTACTGATGATAACATTAGTTATATAATACTTAACTTGAAAGTCACGATGTTTAATTGCACACCTTGAACTTACGCTATATTAAGGCGGTGCACGCAATAGTAGTTCATTATTTAAAAAAAATCAGATAACTGCAGACATTAACTAGAAGAAATACACGAGGGATCATTTGCTTTGCTTCATTACGGATTCGTATGCACGCATACGATTAACATGTGTGGTAATTGTGTAATTGTTTGGTTAATAAAATAAATGTTCAATGTCATCAATGGTTTGATGTCCTATTGAACGTAAAAAAATCAAATATAAAATGAAGAGCGAATTTGAATGATTCGGCGATTTAAAAAAAAAGTTTTTGACATCATAAATGTTTCAGACTTACAAATAATTATTTTATGTGCCGTGAATTTTTTGCGCATTATTAGCATAATTATTGGCACTTGAATCTGCACTAGGGCAGAATTACTTAATATGCATGACTCGTGTATGACATAGAGTTCATAACAATGTCTCTTCGGAGAGTCTGTTTAGATGACCAGCATTTTCTTTAAGGCGATTGTGTAGAATGGCTTGTTAGATGGTCGGTAACTGGACACAAAGAGGAACAGCACACTTTCTGCTGGCGAAACACCCCACGTGAAATATCGTGAAAAGCGATGGTGTAAGGGGGAAATTAAAGTCGCGCTCACCCTGGGGGAATCCGCGGTAAACCATTAACAGACTTTCATGGACACGCGAGTCCAAACATTTCAGCACACAAAAACAAATAACTTCAATAAAGTATTATTTTTTATTCTCGCATTACAATCGACCTTTTCCATTACATACGAAATCACATTTAAAATGACATGGAAAAGATTATGACATTCAGCCAATCGCAGCGAGAGAAGCATGGGAAGGTAACGGCAAACCGAACTGATTTTTCGCATGGATGTCAACTACCCTTGACGACACTATAAAGTTATTTCCAAAAATTAACCTTGATTCGCTTATAAATTTGTACTACTGTCATACAAAAAATATCGTATGCAACTCGTTTATAGTATTTCTTTACTGCATTTAAACATATTTGAAAACTGGCTCCTAACGTTGCTTGTTTTCAAAACGTGTACGTGTTCTCATGAAATAAAGCTTAACATTATAATAAATAAATAAAGACGTTTGTAAAACTCAAATACTTAGTTGTAAATATAATGAATTTATTAGCTCTATACAGGCTCCTCCCTCAAGAAGCTAGTTTCAAGGCAAGAATCTGCTAGCTTCGTGGAGTATAAACGCAGCATGTTCAGCAGTGCTTCCATCTGACAACACGACCAATGGCCTCCTTCGTAATGACGGCGATCGTGAGAGAATGCGAAGACAATACCTTGTGACTAAGACAATAAATGGAACCACTTTAATGAATCTTACTCTGCTATGGATGTTTAATCTTCGCGAAAAAAACAACAAAAACGATACAGTTATTGGTAGACTAATTATTTTCATAACCACCAAAATTTCTATAAAATGAACGAGAATTAATGAAATCATGAACATTAATTGAGTTTCTATGGTCATTAATTTCTCATTTATTATGCGGTTTATGTTCTAATGTATTTCTCTATTCAACAGCATAAACAAAAACAATCGCAGCAGTTTCAAAAAGAGAGTGAGAAGTACTCCATTTCTTTGCAATTTTTACACCGTCATAAAATGTGATGTAGGGACATCGATTTATAAATAGAATTCCCACCTAAAGAGTGAAAAACTATTATTATCGCACTACAGTATTCTGGGGGGGGCGTGTTTTCGCTTTTGGGAGCACAGGGGCAAGACATATTTAATGTGTATTTTATAACAAGTTTTTATCACCGTATTTTGTATATTTATGTGATATAGTGGAAAGTTGGGCCTGGTGGCCCAAGTCTCCTTCATTAATAAAGTTCCATGTTTTGTAGAATAATTATCTTGAGGTATTACACATCTCAATTTCAATGTGTGAACTTGTGTATAAGTGATTTGAACCTGTGTATTGCACATGTTTACTGCGGTGTGTGCACTCGTTGATAGTGACTGGGTCATTAATAATTAGCACAATATACGGAATGACACAGGTGTTTGAAAAAATGTGTCATGAATATGATTTATAAGTGGATGGGTTCCTTTTTGCAAGAGATACAGGCATAGCCTATACCAAAAACCGGAGCCGTTGACGGAGAGAAACTTTGCACATGCTTTCCAGAGTATTGTGACAAAAATATTACTAGCTTTCACTTAATCCTAGTATCAATTTTTGGCAACAACAGCTTTCACTTAATCCTAACATCAATTTTGTCAACAAGAAAGACGACGTCCCACTTGCAGCAAAGGGACAATTTTTTTACTTTGCTGTCACGGATGAGACTGGAGCAGTCTCCAGATGCGTGGAGCTAGAGACTGCGGGTTCGACCCATGTGTAAGGTCCATTGGCTGTGGTGTGGTTACCTTCTTTTGCTACCTCATATCTAATTCGAATGTAATACCATTGACAATATAATTCATCTGTCGTTGTCATCATCATCATCATCATCATCATCATCATTCACCCTCCAAATGACCACCTCAAGCCTTCTACCTCACTTATGATCTGAATAGTCTTTATTAGACCACTGAGATGATATTTGTATTATATTTCAATTCCGTTCCGCGCGGTCGTGTTGGAGCTGTTCTGTGTGCTGTCGGTCGCCGGCCGGTGAGGTGAGGTGAGGTGCGGTGCGGTCAGCGCTTTCACTGCGAGGGCGGCGGCGGCGGCGAAGCGGTGGCCGTCGCGCTGCGTTGCGCAATGGCAGCGGCACTGTGCGGCCGCCGCCGCCACGCCCTCTCCACCCACTGGAGCGCGCACTGGTGCGGCCTCTCCGCTGCCACCGCTCCGAGCCCTCCTGCTCCAGCTCTGGCCCCTTCTCCAACTCCTCCTTCTCCTCTTTCCTCTCCATCTTCATCTTTTCCTCTTTCCTCTCCATCTTCATCTTTTCCTCTTTCCTCTCCACCTTCATCTTTTCCTCTTTCCTCTCCATCTTCATCTTTTCCTCTTTCCTCTCCCCCTTCATCTTTTCCTCTTTCCTCTCCATCTTCATCTTTTCCTCTTTCCTCTCCATCTTCATTTCCACCTCCATCATCATTTCCTCCTTTTCCATTTTCAATTCCTCCTCCTCCTTTTTCGCCTTCTTCTAATTTGCCCCGACCACATTTATTGTTCTGTTTTGTGTTCTCATTTGTCGCAGCTCTATGATCTCATTTTTGACAATGAATACACCAGGAAGCGATCTATCATTAATATTTCTTTTGGCCTGTCAATTAAGAACATGTCATCTTTTTCCGACCACCATTATCTACAATCTTTTCCTTTCGTCTTGGATGACGTTTTAAAGGCAGTGAATTTAAAAGTAATTAGTGTGCGAACAATTCCGCTCTTTATAATTCATTATTTTGTTAAAGTTAAAAAACAACTGCAAACTGAATCTTAATTCTGAACGCTCAGGCTCTTAACTGTGTTACATTGCAAAAGCTCTTTACTATGCACAAGTGAACATTATATTATTGGTTAGTTTTCATTGACAAACAAAAAAGTAAATTAAATTGCACAGAATAACGAATAGTCAACTTGGTTTTTTATAAATTTCAAAATTTTGAAAATGTTTGACCATCCAGTTGGGAAGGGGGAGCCCAGGATAGTTAAGGTCTAAAATTGTCAGCGAGAGTGCCAAAAGTACTCATTTTGTAGATTTCAGCTTCAGAATCAAAACTATCATGAGTATAGGTAAAGACCTAGAATCCATTGTTTTGGAGTTAACTACAATCGTTACACCTGCAAGTGTGCCCTTTCCAGAGAAGCTAATTTAGAGAGTAAAAACATACCGATGCCATTTTGTAAATTTCACTGATCAGCTGTTTTTATAGCTTTGGAGGAATTTTTTGTAAGACAACAAGCATTAGCATTAAAAACGTGGCTCTGATTTTGAATACATAGCGTTTGCTTCATTAAAAGGGCTATTGATACATAGGAATCTGCCACTGCTCGATATACGGGTATTTGAATGCTCCCTTTCCCCACCATCACCCTGAGCGACGAGCGAGAAAGGGAACAAAACCGCTTTTTCCCCAGGCTCTGCAGGCCTCCGGAACGCCTCCGACTTTCAGGGGAAGAAGCAAACAACCGTTTAGAGTTGCTATGCGAATTCTTCCACCGTGGTGTCTTTTCGAGAATTACGAAAGGGTCACGATAATATTTTAAAGAGATGGTGAAGAACTGACGATTACGTATTTCAAATGAACTGGCTATACACGAGAACAAGGATGCTGACATTTTGAAAGAAAATTGCATCTAATTATTATTCATCGTAGTTCGTTATCCTCACTTGTTTGTACTATCATCGTAGATTAAGCGCTTTGAGTTTTGACAATATCAGCCACTCTGATTTTAAAATGTGATTATTATAATTCGAAATATAAGTTACGACTTCCAAGAAAGTACATAAGCACCTGTAAGTATACATCAGAAGTATTTATTTTTGGACACTAATTCCCAATCTACGCTTACGATCCGACCCCCTTTTCGGTAACATGCGATCGGTGGTCCAGACTGACAACTTTCATAACCCACACCCTAATCACGGAGGGGAGCGAATTAGAAACCACGAGGTTCGAATAAAAGGTTCTGGTCACTTGAATTCGGAACGCGGTTTTTGTAGGCGGCTGTGGTCTGACCACAGGTACATCTCCATTGCGGACAGCTCCTCCATTAGCCTCCGCTCTCCCCTCAGCGCCTGGAGCCTTCGCGCTAATGGCGGACGACCCCTCCTCACTTCCTGTCCATTGAGAACTGCTGTCCAAATGGAGCATCAAATCCTCGTGTCAGACGCACATTAATTTTGACACTACGTCCTTCCCACAAAGCCATCACCAGTGATATTGCACAAATATGTGAACCAATAACCTCCCTTTCCCGATGTGTAAAAACCTAGGTGGCTTACACACGTGCAGACTAATATTAAATCTAATCTCGAAAACACGAAAGAAAGCACTCGGATTAAGTCGCCTTCACTTCTTGCCGCATTAAAGTCACATTCTGAGGTAATCAGTACGTCTTAACTCTAAAAAATAATATATTTCATGTACATGGTCGGTGACAAGTTATCAAATCTTCTTGATATTCCAAAGTAGCAAAATAAAGGAATTGCAATATGTTATTTTTTAGTCATAATTGAGAAAGTATTTTCTTAGTGTGGAAACGATACGAGTAGTTTGAAGAATATATGGAATACACTTAAACATCCTTCTCACAATCCAACAACACAATTTAATAAACAACGATGAAGCCATTTAAAAAAAATTGAGAAATGTCTCAAGGGCTTCAAGTAAACCTCTCAAAATTAAAATATCGATTTCAATTTAAAGAGAACGCGATATTAACTAGTTCAATTGAGAAACATCCAGTTTGGAGAAAATCAACTCAACGGTTTAATCGCTAGTGTTATTGACAGAACGTCAGACAGAGAGACTTTTTGCCACATTTTTTCGATTGTTCAGTAACATATGGATTCTTGCTATACAATGTGTTTGAGGATTTCCTTCCTAAATTTAGCACCTGGATTTATCCACGTTTCCGTTTCCAGGCCCCTGTAATAAGAATTTTTCAGCCTTTTTTCGCGCAGCATTACATAACTTTCTCTCTACTGCGTAGGTGGTAGCGAGAAAGTAATAACAATGCAACCTACAGGGAGGGAGAAGCCCGAAGAGAAGATCGAGCTCCCTCGTCCCGTGGCGGAGGAATGGGAAATACCCGTTCCGGAAGGAGAGAAATCGCACGTACGTATGTGCGATTTCGGGGAGCAGAGTGGACCTAATCAACGATACACACGCTGTTAAATTCACAGAATGCTGTGCAGATAAACGATCATAAGAAATGCCAGAGAAACTAAAATCGATTCTTTCGTGGAACGTTATAACATTGGCAAACAACCCAAAATGCACCCGGATCCTCCTAGAGTGTCTCCCTAAAACCACTTCGCTGTATACTGGAGCAGCGCGTTTTCAGAACATATTAGATTCTGAAAACGGAAATTATGGAACGGAAAAAATAAAATTTAGTATTAAATAATTCGAATTCGGTTTTTCATTATAATGTATTATTAATATTGGATATTGGATATTTAGATATATTCTATATTTCATTAATATAGGAGTTTGACCGTCACTTTTGACAGAGTACCCCTAGTACTGTATAAAAATGTGCCCTGAACTCTATCAAATTCGAATGTTACTCAAATCAGGAATAGAATAAATTTTAGAAGTGAGAAATTAGAAACCATACACTGTTTCACATATTACAAGTTATTAATGGGCTTTCGATGGATTAGCAATTATAGAGCATTAAGCAGTATCAGAGAGACAATCCCTTGTGCTTGCATGTATCAAGTCAAGGCAGCATTAGCTATGAAGGAAATTCACGATACCTTACCCAAAGGAATCATCACACTTTGGACAGAACCGTTGGAGCGTCCCACTGCACACGGCAACAGAGCACAAACAAAAGCTTGAAAAGCTTTTGCAGAATTCAGTTATCAGAAATATATATTTTCGTATCTGGGGCTGCAATGTGCAAACTCCTTGCCGAAGAGACCTCTTTTGGGTGAAGATGGTGTCTGGAGCCTGCAGTATAAAACATAGACCGCTGAAAGAATGAACTAATGGAAGTTTGCGAAACGTCACGCGACCTCCGACGCCAGTAGCTCCTTTCGCATGCTGGGAGATCCCCCAGAACGCGCAAAGAGAATATTGTGTTACCAGTATTTGGTAAAGATCTTTCTTCTGAGCAAAGGACTCTCGATGATGCTGCGTCCGCTTGCTTGCGTGTGACGGCAACAATGGGCGCATTAGCAGCGCGGAGGGCCACGTTACGTGTGCGCTGAGCGGAGAGGGGCGGCGAGCGAGGAGCGAGGAGAAAGAAGCAGCGATGACGAAGTCGCGGAGGGCGCTAAAATCGAAAGCGACCGCTTCACAGTCGCCGGCCGGGATTTATCGCGGAAGGGTGACACCGGAGACAAGCAGCGTGCGGAGAGAAGGTTGGAAATGAGGGGAATGGTAATGAAAGGAATAGGAGAGAGAAGAAAGGGAGAATATGGAGAGGAAAGGAGAAGAAAGGGAGAAAGATGCAGGGAGGCTAAAGAGAGAAATAGAGGAAGAAAAGGGGAAAGAAAAGGGAGATATGAAATTAACGGAGAGGAAAGGAGAGGTGGAGAAAAGAGAAAGAAAGGAAGATGAGGGGAAAGGTAGAGAAAGGAAGAAAGAGGACAGAGAGAGGAAAGGAACTGAGAGGAATAAAAAAGAGGCAGAGGGAGAGGAAAGGGAGGGATGAAGGTAGGTGGAGTAGAAAGAAAGAAAAAAAAGAAAGAAAGAGAGAGAGAGAGAGAGAGAGAGAGAGAGAGAGAGAGAGAGAGAGAGAGAGAGAGAGAAAAAGAAGAAAGTGGAAAATTAAGGGTGAGATGAAGGTAGAGGAAAGGAAAAGAGAGGAGAAGGAACGAGAAAGGAAAATAAAGGGAGAGAAAGGGAGGGAGAGGGAGAGGACAGAAAGGGAGAGGGGAGCAAATGTAGAGGAATGTAAAGGGGAAGAAAGGGAGGCATCGGAAGGGCATTGAAATGAACAGAAGAGAGGGAAAGGAAAGGGAGAGGGAGGGAAGGGAGACAGATAGGCGGGGGACGAGGCGAATCGGGAGTGGGAGGAGAGGAAATCCGCTTCATTCCCCCGCAGTGACCTTGCTCCGCCCTCCTTGCATGGCCGCTCTCCTGATTTAAATGTGTGACCACGGGTATTCCGTGAATTCTGTGCTGACCCACTGCCACCGAAGGCCTACCACTCCTCTGCAGCGCCGTTGCGTATTGCATTCCTCTTACGCTCCATTTATCACCAGCAGCAATTCTACGGCGCAAACAGGATGACTATGTGCCTTTCACGAAAAGTCGTTGCCATAAAGGCAGTAGTTTCGGGAGAAAGGAATGTAAGTAAATCTTTTATAGTTAAAGTTTTATAGTTGGCAATTGGGATGAAAGTATTGCTATTAAGAATGAAAGATGTAGATGAATACTCTGAATTTATCTTCCCATGTGGCATAAAAAAGAACTAGCCCAAAGACTTTACGTTTTGAGTCCCTTTGAAGGCTTGTAAGGTCTTAATACTCAGTGCAAAATATTGTATGAATAGGAATTATAATGTTTGGATTTCTATAGTCGTAAAAGAAGATTCGAAATTCCAATGGTCAATTTTTTGTAGAGTTGGATTAGTAATCATGTTTTAATAATTTTTTGAAAAAATCTTTTGCTCCCGCGCCACTTGCGCAAGTTATTTAATCGGCCTAATATTTGCGTGGAATAATTTTGTAACTAATACTATTGTTATTACAGTTACTATCAATACATAGAGACCTAAAATATTTCAAGTTGATTTTTGATATAGAGTTCTAAATTTAGGAAAATAGCATATCTTCCGTTGTTAAACTGAGTTCAAATTTAAGCCAAAGGTACGCCGATAACGCTCTAACGGTACTACTTGCTAGAAGGTCCTTATCCAAAAAAAAAGTATGCAATGTAATACAGTACAATAATACACATTTCACATTCAGTGGCAATTGAACAATATCGTAGGAGTACATTTCCTTCTTCTCAATTGCCATTTTCGTTGCAAGTTATAGCTAATAAGCATGACCTTGTTATAAATTATGTTTTGACTGTTCTAAGCACTGAATGAATTTCCACCAATACAATCGACTCCTTTTATATAGCAATTAGATCATGATTAGTAGTTATGATACTAAGCATGTTATTAAGGTCATTGATTAATTGATTAGTGATTCCGGGCGTGTCGACTGCTATGATCATTACTCCCGTCAGTCTAGTGTATGTTTTTGTCTAGGGATGTGGTGTTGATCTTCCTCTGCTGGCGACCTAACTATCGATTACGGGTTTTTCTCCTACCAGGTATCTCCCACCATCGGGCCCTTCCCCAGCACGGATAAGCTCTAAGCTATTGACTGGTCTCCCGACGTGTGTGGGGGTGTACCGCAAGTACGTGTAAGGAATGACGATAGAACAAGGAAGAAGAAGGAAAGATCGCGCGCGTTCCATGCCCATTTGTTAGGGAACTGCTCCGGGATTCACCTAATGTTGATCGTAGAACCACGGAAAACTACCGATTACAGCAACCGGCCACTAGAATTCTCCAGGCAGCGCCTGAATTCGACCTGGCTAAGTAGCTTATGTTGAAAATCCTGCCACCGTCGGAACTCGAACTCAGGGACCTCCCGGTCAGAGGCACTGGAATGACTCAGATGCCCTGAGCGACCGGCATATTATGCTTATACTCGTATGCATAATTAGTTTGATTTGAAAGCACTGTAAAGTGTAAATTGAAATTCCTGCGACAGTTGAAGTTTCTGAAGAATTACTCGTATTTTAAAAAGTGCGAAGATTGTTTTAATGTATCGAAGGGCACCATCAGAAATAGTTTTTTGACTGTATCTCGAATTTTAGAATAGCTAATGGGCGATTAAAGATATCATATTTTGCTCTACATAACGAAACATTTTTAATGACGAATGGTTTTGGAAATATATTGGAAGATCTAGAGTATATGTTTGGATTATAGCATTTTTTTAGCGTGAAAAGTGAAATTTTTGCTTCCCATTCACCTCTTGTATGTTTTGAACCACCATTTGGGTACAGAAAGCGCGCGCTACTAGTGTTGCTATGTTCTCTTCGTGACGGAAGGATTCGCACTTTCGTAGCTTTGAGCTCATGGGGCTGAGAAGGGCAGACATTTTCATTATTTCATACTATATTTAAAAGGGAAAGATAAACTCTTGGTACGCCCCCTCAATACGATTTCAAACAGGGAGAAGGCACAGGAACAAGCTAACAGCCGAGGGGATTATTAGTTGGCTTAGTTACAAGACTTTTATTAACTCTGGAGTGAAATACGTGCGAAGAAATTGTATTTACTGGAGAAACATATTGCTGACTTTCGCTCACGTTTCTCAGATTTCTCAAATAATAAGCAAACCCTGCATGCCATCCATTTGCGCCGACCCCTCTGCGTAACCGCTGTTTGCTGCCGAGAAATAAAGTACCGTGAACGCATGCGCATAGAAGTACTGTGCGCCAGGAAAGTCTCTTCACCGAGTCAATGCCTCCTATTAAAATTGCAATGTTGGTAGCAACCAGATCATTGGGAAACAAGTGCAGGGGTCAACACTTCTAGCATATGATATGACTGTGACGAGTACGCGAGGTGCGTTTTATTTTGTAACATGCCGTATCTAGGGCTACCAACATAATTCCTGTTGCTAGCTCACTCAGCAGCAACTGCGGAGGGACTTTTCCGGCGCACTGTACGTAGTCATGCGCGAAGGAGTAACACGACGCGTTGCTGGATGTGAGCGGGCGGAGGAGAGAAGCCTAGGAGGTGAGTGGCGGGGCAGGCTGCTGTCAAATGATTTACGGCTCCTCGTCCTGGCGCTCGGCTTCCCAAGTTCCGAGTCTACTTCTTCTCCCGCTACCTCTATAGGTCACTTTCCCTCTCCCGATGCCTTACAGGTGCCACCCCCACAAAGCTTCCCTTTCCTCTTCCATTCCCACCGCTTAGGCGGCGCAGGGTTTCAACTGATGCCTCTGCAGCGCCTCTGACCCGAAGTTCCTAGGCAGGTTTTTCTACAGTAGCTAAATAGCTAGGTCGAATTCAGCCGCTGTCTCGAGAAGAATGGCTGCTCATATCGGTAGTTATCTGTGGTTTCTCCGATCAACACCAGGCGAATGCCGTAACAGTACCACAACAAACGGGCCAGAGACCGCATGTGATGTTTCCTTCGTCTTCTTTGTCCTATACTTACACATGTTCTACACTACCACACATGCCTGGAGGGTAGTCGGAAATTAGACGAAGGGGCAATGTCACGTTGGTGGGAGATCCCTGGTATGGGAATAATTCCCGTGGGCCGATGTCGGATCTCGCCATCTAGTGGAGGAATATCACCGCCACATCCAGGGATAAAAAACATCACTACTGTCACATAACTAATGATCTTGGTAGTTGATGAGTCCGAAAACCTATCAATCATCCATTCCCTGCTCAAATCCCAAGACGGGATCTTCCCTGATTGCAACTGAGGTTGATGTTTGGTTTTGAATGAAGAAAAATTGTTCTAAAATGCACCTTTTAGTTTCTTCTTTATTGAATCGTGTTATACAGTGATCCTATAGTAAGGGCGGGCTTCGACAGATACTGCTTGGCTACTGCTGGGAACTTAACAGCAGTTTACATTCGTGCGCTCAAATCGTCGGAGAGTTCGTTTGCACGTGTAAATAGCTTCGACATTTTGCAATACCTTCATCTCTCATGAAGTTAGTATGTTTTACGCCCTCTCAAACGCACCTTTTGTAACTTCTCTGTATCTGAATATTTATGTATTTTAGACAACATTGCGAAGGAAGACCAGCTGTTAATTTGTTTATTAAAATTTTGAATGTTACGTAAATTCTACAATACTGTGTGAATGTAATATAATTTGTTTGAAATTTTGTTCACCGTATTGTGATTACCAATTTAAAATCTGACCTCATATTTGAAATAAACATCTAAACTGTTGATCCCCCAAATATTTTTCAAATCAAGGTGATATGTCGTGTTCTTGTTCACCAATTTCAGTCCTTCGACACCCCTCCTTTGCCAGAAGGACCTTCAGACGTATTGCATTTCGCTGCTGCTCTCTGATCACCTTAAAATGTGAAAGTTAAAAACTGATATCGTGCTTATTTATCAATACGTGCCCCTAAAGGGAGATAGTAAGATTTTATTGTAACGAAGATGATTTTCAAAGGAAGGTTTCTGAAGTTATGTATTGTTTTACTTGTAAACGTTTCATTGACCAAAAATTGATTTTCAGCGTTCATATAACAGGGTTAAATTTTATTCCCCACAGTGATTTAGACATTCTTTTGATCTGATCCTAATATCGAACCTTCATAAAACATTTTTGTTATTTTTTCAAAAAAGCACTTCCGACTTTTTCAAGATTTTTATTTTCTAATCTTCTTGAAATTTGAAAAAAAGTGTCCAAATTAAACAGACAACTTATCCCAATTACTGAAAAATACAACATTTCGGAATATCCTGAAGTTTTCGCCGTAGAAACAAACTTCCTCTTGTGTATTTTTACACCTTATTTGTTTGTACAATACACGCACCTACTGAATAATTGTAAACTGTATTTAGTATTTTACTTCAATGGAAATATTGTTATCTTATTTTAAAGAAGAATAAAAAAAACATTCAACTGCCTCAAGTTCTTAAACGTTCTTAAACCAATTAAGAAAGTAAATTGTAAATTGGAACGCTGAATTTTTTAATTTGTTTATTCTTGTATATATAGCTAAATAGTAGATTGGGAAGGTTATTAGACCGCAAGATGTCCCTCAAAAATAGATTTGCTTGAGGATACGCACTTGCAATTTTTAACGACTAGCCAAGGCAGGTGAGGCGCTGATTCTTCGCAAATGGTACATATTTTAAGGGGAATTTATTTACGTCATTTACTGAAAAAGTACTCTTACTATCTCAAAATTATCGAAATTTAATAATTTTTACTTATTTTCGGGGCAATAATCCTCTATTAATTCAACAAACATTACATTACAAAGGGAAATGAGCGTTCTCAATGAAGAACGCTTGATCGAGTGTGTGCTCCGGTCGACTCCACAATGCGGAAGCGACTCGCGCGAAGTGCGGTGGACCGGGAGTGGGGCGGAGCGAGTGTGGGAGGAAGGGGAGGGGAGGGGAGGGCCTGGCAGAGGGG